TTCATCAGGCATGGTGTCAGATTCCTCGCATCACCTTTCAACATCTCGTGGAGTCAATGCCAAGAAGAATCGCCGCAGTATTGAAGGCAAAAGGTGGCCCAACGAAGTACTGATGGGGTGGTCATAATAATCTGGCCACTCAGTGTATAACCAAGAAGAACATCAGTGGAGTATGGTTGCAATTATTTGTTTTTCTTGAGAATTTTCCTGGTTAGTGCCCTTTCTAATAACCTGTGTTCCCTGGTCAGCAGCTTTTCCATGACTCCCACATCCACTTCCTGGCCACAGAGATGGGCTTATAACGTCGGTCTAGGACAGTCTAACCATAGTACCCATTTACACAATTGTTCCAAAGTTTTGGTTATTTGGCTCAAGCTGTGCTAATCAGGTTCCATTTGAGTTCTCAGTTTACAGTGGGGGCGTAACCCAGCCTTTGGGGCACCTGCAGAAAAGGGGTGAAGGGAAGCCAGGGGAAGGAGAAAGCCTGTTTGCACTAAGAGAGAGTGGAGCAAAGGGAAAGAAGCAGAAATTTGGGGCGGGCATAGAAAACCTGGGGCGTTACATCTGGGTTCCAATTCCTGAAGCCGTGGTGCCTGCAGCTTTTGATTCTGTGAGCTCTTCTCAAGCCTCCTTTCTTGCTCCAGGAACTAATAAACCCCCTTTTTGGCTTAAGCCATCTTGAATGGGTTTCTAACATTTATAACTAGAATTCCAACATACATCAAATCCATAAATTCCACCTATCATTTTAGACAAGAAAACAGAGATTAACTTGCCCAAGGCCACACATCACGACTGAATTATTTCTTTTCTCTTCAATCTATTGGCATGCTCTGCTTCAAGGAAAAAATGAAACTTTGAGTTAGTGGGGTTTGTGTTTTTAATAACCCCCAACGCATTCATAGCTGGTCCCAAGCAGACTTGTGAGTGACTGGGTAAACCATTGTCAGTTCTGATGGCTGAAAACACACCTCCCAGAATTTGGGGCTACAGCTCTGTTAGCTGAGTGCAGCTGCATTGATGAGTGCTCCACAGTAGAGATATTCTTTATTGAACCAAGGCCCAAATGATGAAATTTCCACACTGAATGATCTCAGGAGTTGAGTGCGATAATTGAAACAACTAAAAAATAGGTTAAGACATTTTTTATAACTGCTTTAGAAGTTGTCAATACCCACTCAATTTGTAATAGTAACCAGTAATCCACTGTACAAAGAACATACTAGTTAACACCTATAAAACCCCAGTTGTCCAACTGGTGATAGCTAAATAAACTGTAATATCCTTAGATACTACAGACTACAGGGGTATACTGGGTTATTGGTCTTAATTCGTGCTGTCATAGCTTCATATACTTTTACCTTCTGCCCTGTGACTACAGTGCTTCCCACCCTGGGCAATCAGCTCCCAGCCGACTAACATGGCTTACTCGGAGAGCTTGTTTTGACGAATGTACAGTTAGAGGGTAAAACGATGCCCACATGGTTTGGCTTCTCTTCTTGTGATTCTGCTACCGTTACAGGTGGGAATCTGCACAGGTTAAAATGAAATTTTGCCTATTTTTTGAATACGCAATATTTTCACATAATTATTCCTAAGGTACCAAAGGGTATATAACCACCTGGGTCCCTTCCCCGGAGGGAGCCATTTCCTGTGTAAAAGCCATTTCCTGTGTAACCTTCCAGAGAAACTTGATCCATACACAAGGGAAGTCAAATAGCAGTATTTCCTGGAGTCGGAACCCAGGGCTGGGGATAGAGGCTTCTGGATCAGGCTGGAAAAGTCCTTCCTGGGAAGATCTGATTCTCTTACTTGAGGATATTTATAATCTGAGCAACCAGCCTGTAGGCAGACCTATAAATAACTTACTGTTGACCAATTACTAGTCTACAAAGGCACTTGTCATATAGAGCTATTGATCTCATTTGAAACTCTTAAAAATGTACTGTTTCCAAAATGCAATCGATATTAGGGTGCACCTGAAAACTCAGAGAGGGAACTGCTCCTTGGCCTAAAGCAGGTGACAAGCACACAGTCGTGGTTTCAGTTTGCGCCATCCCCAAATGTTTGTTTCCTTTTGGAGACAGATCATTCCAATTAAGACCAAACACTGGAAAAACATGGTAAAGGGAATTTTCATCTATTTACAGCAATATACGAATTAACTGTTTTTTTTCATTTTAACTTGTTTAGGACTCAAAGGGAATTTTTAAAAATTGATTTGAAATGGTAAATTACATATTTAACTTTAATTAATTTGTACCAGATTGATATTTTCATCTGCAAAAATGTTTAAACTTTTTTCACCTAAAAGCATAATGAAATGACCAAAACAAGCACTGATCAAATTTAAAAATCTTTCTACAAAACTTAATTACTTTGCTTTTAAAACACAATTATTCACTTCACAAAGATTAACCAAAACACAAACCCTGTCAAAGTTTATTATTATACTCTTTCACAAAATCAATAGCTTAAACAAAAGACTGCCAATGACTACTTTAATGTAAAACCACAATGTAAAAATAGAACTTTAGTTCTAGTGACTGGAATACAAACAGATAAATAATCTTCTTTAAAGGGAAGAAATACTTGAGGGGAAAAAAATGGTATAATGTGTAAAGCAGGAAATGTAAATATCAGTTTAGTTCCTCATTGCCAACATGGCATTTATATCCCAGATGAGATTTCGTAATTGATCCATAATTTGCTTCAGCTGTTGATTCTTCTGTTTGAGTTTCTGGAGAAACAAAAGAATTTATCAAAAATGAAATACAGACCATGAAGTTAAAAGACTAAATGTCGTAAGTTTGGACTCCAGACAATTAAGCTAAGTATTTCCTTCAAGCAGAAGACCTCAGCCCTCTTCTGTCCACAAATATTCACTGAAAAGCATACTGTTTAGGATCCTTTCCTCAAATCCTATAAGGCAAATGTATGCTTGGGTAAAACAAGATAAAAATAGAGAACTTCTGGTGAGTGTTTACTAGCTATTATAATAAGAAGCATTACAGTTCAATAACCTTTTGGGAACATTACATTTGGAAATAATATATTTACTTAAATAATTTTAAAGAAACTATATTAAAATACCTCCACATAAAGTAGTACATGTTCAGTATAAAGAGGCCTAAAATCATTAATTTTTATATCATTAAAGAGCAAACCAAGATTACATAAACTGCTCATGTTAATTCTATCTAGAGTTAAAGTAACAGGGAGAAAGTAACTAAAAAGGGGGACCAAGAAATTTTTATTGGAAACAGAAAAGCAATTTACAGAGACTTTAATGTTTAATATTAATTCAATTCATATTTGAAAAGAGAAATATCAAATGTACAGACTAATCACTCACTTTATTTACTTCAGCAATTTCTCGCCTCTCTTCACTAGCAAAACGAGGTGGGCCAGCCCGATCATCATTCTTTGAGCCATCTTCTTCCACATATGGAATTAGTTGCTGGAAGTTATAAACAAGTTAAAAGTAAAAAATATGACATAAAATTTCCAATTACACTGGTATAGAAATGAGTCAGATTAAGGTCAATTTTTATACTTTTAATAATATAAAAAGAAATTTTAACTTAGATGATGGTCTAAAATAACAGTGTGGTGAGTTTATCATTTCAGTGCACTCTGTACATTAGCTTTTTGGGTTTCTTTTGAGAAATAGCTGTTATAACACTAGTTGTTATATATAGTTAAGTAATACCCTACTCATTCAACCAGCAAATATTTAGTTGCCAGCCACTGGGTGACACACTGCAAAAATTGTGACACATAAGTTGTGATTTCCAAACCTAAGAAATTCATGGACCATTGAGATAGAATAGGCTTTCTTTCATTCATACTAGAAAGAACTTTAGGGATGTGCATGATATAAATCTCATTTACTTGCTATTTAGAACCTAAGTACCTATGAAAAATCCTAGATGTTGTAACTTCTTTGATTAGGAGAAAGTTGTTTGTTTGTTTTTAATTTTGTAGGAGAAAAAAATGTATATAGCAATGAAACTTCTAGCAGAATTATAATTGAATATGTATGGTTTGTGATGAAGTTTATTTGATGAAACTCCTCATAGACGTGATAGGCTTCAGGAATCATATAGTCTCAACTGTCTTATATTATTACCAATCCAGGTAAATAGGTGGTACGACCAGGAGTCATCTGGCTAAACTTCTTCAAATTCCTTCACAGAGACAATAAAGACTTACCCATACCCACACCACTTCCCTCCTTTCCTCTCTCCTAATGCACACTGTCCTTTCTCCTGAATACGGTTAGTCTCCATTCCTGTGCTTTTCCTTCTGCCTTTATTACTTATCCGCTTCCCAACCTTTCCCTACGGTTTCTTCCTTTATCATCTAAACATGTTCTGATCTCTCCCATGTGGAGGAAAAATGCCAAAAACCTTTGACTCTATCCTTCTTTCCATCTACTGCATTCCTCTCTTGATTTCTATCTCAGCTTCTTGAAAGATGCTTAGCCACTTGTTGGCTCCAGTTCCTTATTTCCTGCTCTATCTTCAACCCACTGTGATCTGACTTCTTGTTGCTACCATTTCACTGAAGTGCTGCTCAGATATACAATTCTCTAGCAAAATCTACTGGACAGTTTTCAGTCCTTATTTTCCTTGACTTCTCTGCAGCCTCTGACAATTTGTCAACCATATTTCTGATCTTTCGCCAACACCTTTGATCACTTCTTTTCAGGCTGTTTTGCGTTTACTCTTTCTCTGTCCATCCCTTCCTGCTGATCACTCAAAAAAGAAGCACTGATCACATGAAACTGCTCTTTATATGTAATGAGAGAACATCCAACTCTTCCCAGCTACCTTTGGTGGCAGAGATATAACTTGTCAGCAGGAAAGGGCTATGTATATACCTAATTAACTAAACTATATTTAGGATCCAAAGTTAAATTTACAGAATACATTTTAAAATAAGTGATTCACTAAGCTAATTTAAATTATTAATGATGAAAACATAACTTTTACCCATAAAGAACTCACATGAAAACTATTTTTAAAGTATTTGACAATACTATTTAAACTCCTACTAAAAAAAAACCCCAAAACCACCCTGCAGTGATTTAATTAATAGGAGACACTGACTACGATAAAAATTGCCAGACAACCCTCGCATTCTAACAACCAAAATTCACTAATAAGACTATATATTAGTGTACAAAAAATTATTAACATGAAAATATGGTATTAATTCTATACATATATTTATATCATATTTTCATCTTCTCTAGTCAAAAGTAAAACTGAAATAATTCAAAATCTGGAGATATTGCAGAAATAGGAGAAAGCGAGAAGGGCGACAATGACAGCACCTGAGACCATCCTGTCTTACATTCACCCTCCCTTTACCACTGGAACTTGCCTCTACTGGAATGGGATCCATCCCTCCGCAGTTTTCATTGCATTTGTCATAGACCAGTCTCAGCTTCCGGAAGAGAATAGAAAGCTGGCGAAGGTGGTCCTGGAGCTTTGCTAGCCGATCTTGGTATGTTCCAGTATGGTACGTGACACCATTTGGGAGCTTATCAGGCAAAACAGAACAACAAAAATAAAAAGTAATGAAAATCAAGACTTTTATAAGTAAAGCTAGCAAACAAACAATTTTAAGTACTGCATAAAAGCAAACAGTTTCTCAGTTAATCAAGTGCAAGTTTAAGACTTTAAGAGTAATCCGTGCTCATTTCTCAGCTCCTTGGCATACTGTTTGTGCTGTAAAACACACCCAGAAAAAAACTTTGTGATAAGCCCCTCTGACCAGGTGAAATACTTTCCCCCTCTAATTTTTAAAGTATTACTTTAAAAACGTACAATTTTAATATTATTTACTATTACATAAAGGCAGCAAGTAGCTGGACTCAACTAGGAAGTGAAAAGTAAAATAAAATTTTAAAAAAAGAAGAAAAGAAATAAATGAAGACAGGACTTTTTAACAGAATAAAAGTAGTAATATGCTGCTCCTGTTGCAAAATAATCTCAAGGTACCTTAACTCTGATAATTAAGATACTCAAGGCACACAATGAAATATAAAGTTGTCACCAAAAGTTTTCTTTAAAAATAACATATAGCAGGAGATATAGATGCAAATTGATCTGAACTTGAACATCATTAATAAATTATTATAAGTAACTGCTCTGATCATCAACTGTCCTGATGCTTATGCGTTTTTAATTCAATAATTTTATCAAAAGCAGCCAAATGTATGTATGTAATGAAATGATAAAATCACAGAAAAATGGAAATCAATCATTATTTATTTAGAACTTGTAACTAAATACGTGCCTTTTGTGCCTTCCTGAAACTCATGAACAAAATCCTCCTTTCTCTGTACAACTTTACATTTTATTCCCACAATCTTATCTGTGAGGTCATCCTAACATAAGCATTAAAAACATTTACATCCTGTTTTCTAATATACAAGGTGCTTTCATTATAAGCACTTGCCCTTATACTTATCTTGGGGGTTAAAGTGATAAAACTAACTACTTACTGTCTAATAGCTAGATCAGTCCAGTTATTCTAAACCTCAGTTCACTTTTCTTTTTCTTTAAATAGATGAAATAAAAATGAAAAACAAAAAAGTACCTGATACAATGTTTGGAGAAAAAAGAAAATAGGACACACTATTGTTACAAATAAGGTAAAACCATAAACATGAAAAAAAGACTGGAAAGGCTTACATAGCGGATGAAAGATATATTAAGGAGATAGTCTTGTATAATTTATTTTATTCTTTTTTCACTTTCAAATTTTCTATAATGTTATGGTTTATAAGATAAAGAGATGGATCTTCTGAAATTATTTGAATGAGATATTGTTAGGATTTTCAGAAATTCTTAAGCATTGAAACTTTCTGAGGACAGTGTCTCAAAGAAATGCGATAAAAAATACCAAAGGATGAATTAGTAAAAATAGTTTAAAGGAGAAAGGCATTAAAAGTTCACCACCCAGTACAATGGAGGACTTTTCCTCTTAAGCTTTCCAATTTATGAACTTTCACAAACACTAACAATCAAAGAAATGTTTCAAAGGATCCCCGCTTTCCAGTTTGGGTGCTAGTAAGGAGTATGATGATTGTATCTTACATGCAGAAGCACGAAGTACCTTTCCTGTAGCATTGGCGAGGCTTACTACTTTGCCCATATTTTCTACTTAGTGAAGACTGGAACTTATTCACTTTTGTATCACTGTATTTAGTACAGTACTGACAAACAGAAGGTTTTAAAGTACAGTCTAACTTATTTTACTTTAATGAGTTATTTTCCCAATAAATATATACTTAAAATTCACTTAGAAGTGTGTGTCATGTAAAAAGAACTCCGAATAGATTTTTTCACAAAGGAAAACAAAATCATTTTGAAATGCAAATAATCACCCTCCTTAAATTCGCCTACTTAGTAAGTGTGGGTATTAGTTTTCATATACAACTTCAGCTTCTCAAAGAAAGGAATAATTAATTCAGTCAAAAAAATTACTGCACATTCTACATGTGTCAGGCACTGTCCTAGAAACTGGGTTAGAGATGTTCTGATACTGCAGAGTATAAGTTATTATAGTGCCTAAGAGCCCTTGTTATACACTGTGGTGTACATATTTAGCTGGAAAGCTCATCAATAATCATCTCCCTCATGAATGCTAATGAAGGCCCATAAATATATGATCATACCCCAGATACCAAAAAGGCATTCAATTAAATTCAATATCCATTCTTAAAATAAATATAAAACTCGTACTAAACATTCCCCAGTGTGATAAAATACATTTATCCCAGTTAAAAAGTGAGCACAGCACCCTGATTAATATGGAAACATTAAAAGCATTCTCAATGAAGTCAGAAACCGAACAGGATGTCTACTAAGACCACTAATATTACTAGTGAACACTATTCTGGAGGAACTGGCCAATGCAATTAGAGAGAGAAAAAAGAAAAAAATGTTAAAACATTAAAAAGAATGTGGTATAATCACTACAAATGATATGAGAAAGTGCTACTATCAATAAAAGAATTCAAGAAGGAAGTGGGTACAAAGTTAAAGTATAGAAAACAATAGTTTGCTTTTCATATATAAAATCAAAAGAAAATGAGAAAGGAAAAAGACCCTATTTACAATAGCAACAATAAAGACAAAACATCTAGGAAATAAATTCCAAGATAAAAATGAATACTTAGAATACTTCATAGGGACACAAAGGATATTCCATGTTCTTGGTTATTAAGACTCAACATAATAGTGATGTCTCCAGGTTAAATGAGCCTATTAAAAACGTGAACAGGTTCTCAGAACTAAACAAGCAGATTGTAAAGAACATGTGGAAAAATAAGCAAGAATAGCCAGGGCAATTCTGAAAAATAAGTATAAACACATTATAGAGCCTCAATAAATAGAAGTTTGGCATTGCAAAAGAGACAGGCAGCTAAGTGAATAGAACAGAATAGAACATCCAGAAATAGACTTATTTGTATAAAGTAGCATCTGAAATCAATGAGGTAGGAAATAAATTATTCAACCAACCTTTTGGAAAAAGTAAGGCCAGGGCCATGCCTCACACTTTATTCTAGGCTAAAGTCCATCTGGGTCAAAGTTTTAAATATAAAAATTGAAACAAATGTTATATGAAGAGAGATGATCAAATTCATTCCAAAGAGGGAAAAACATAGATTTTTACCCATCCAGTGATCAAAGATCCAAAAATATAACTCACTCTTTTAGAGCCCAGTTATTGATCTTGGATATGGCAGCATAAACTGGTACAACCCCATGGAGGGCAATTGTTCAAAATATATCTAATTATAGAAGCACATAGCCATTTCTAAGAATTTATCCTACAGGTACACTTGTGCATTTATGCAGAAGGTTATTCACTGCAGCCTAACAGTCAGAGATGAAAAGCTACTGAAATGCCCTTCACTGGAGAACTGGTTAAATAAATTACAGTATTCCCATGCAGTGAATTTCTGTACTCTTTAAAAAGAAAAGGAGTTATTTCCTGTATGAATATGAATAAACCCCAAAATATACCAAATCAAAAAAAAGTAAGGTGCAAAATGTGTGTAATATACTGTTATCTGTGCAAAAGGGATGAAAATAAAAGAATATACATTTGGTTAAACAAGCACAGAATATCGGGAAGGATACACAAGAACAGTAATAAAAATCATTAACCATCATTGCCTGCAGAGAAAGGGGTAGATAGCTAGCAGAGAGGGGAGGAAGGCAGAATGTTCACTGTAATGTCCTTTTTTATTTCTGAATTTTGAATGTATTATATATTCAAAGAAGTTGTTTTAAAGAGGTAAAGGATAATAAACAGAACCAAAGCAATACTTCCTTACAGAGGGATTCTCAACTGGGATCGAGGGATCCTTGGGGAAACATCTCTTAACCCGCCTGAAATTTTATTCAAAATGTATATATGTGTATTTTTCTTAGAAGAGAGTCCATAGTTTTCATCCCATTCTCAAAAAGCTGAAGGACACGTAATAAAGAACCACTTCTCTAGAACACTTAGAAATAATCTCAGCAGTGTGTATTTATGCCACTGTGTCCTTCTTGATTAGCAATGTAGAAGATCATTTTTAAAATGTGAATACTCTAAAAAGTGTATCAATAAATACGTTATATGTAGTCCTGTCTGTACCACTACTACTTCTAGCTTCCTGGAAATGAAGGGGCACCCTGTTTCTTTTACAGCGAATTGTAATATGCTCAAAGGGGCTTAGATGAGTTAAACCACAGAACTCACACTTACAGGGCCACAGAGTAGTTAACTATCAGGCTCTTACAAATTGGTTTTTGAGGGTTGTCAAAAACCACATGTAATGTAGTTAGTCATAATTTTTTGAAAGTGTTTAGTTTTTTTCTGTGTTGGTCACAGATGTGTATCATATCTCTTTTAATGCTAATAATTGTTTGATAGCAAGTTAGAACTATAAAGAGGTTAACAGGAAAAGCTACTAGTCATGTGTGATGTTGGGTAAATTCTTCTCTCTTTAAGCCTCTGTTTCCTTAACTGTGAAATAGAGATAAAAATACTCCTTAGAATTGCTCTTACAACAGTGTACCTGACAAAGTACTTGATAAATATTAGCTATTAGTTTTCCAGTCCTAATTCAGTGCTTTGCATACAGCATGCTAAAAATAAGTGCATTTTCGATTCATGGTTGGGAATCCACGAATATGGAGGGCTGACTTAAATGTTATATGGGGTGTACACTGATATAAAATGGATTTTATCTGAAGAATATTTAGTCCAGAATTTGGTCTGTTATGCACTTTTCTATGTATATAACAACATGGTATAAAATGTGACCATCAAAAATAAAGTGCTGTATATATTTTTTAAAGTTATATGGAGATTTTCGATTGCACGGGTAGTTGGCACCCGTTAACTCCGCATTATTCAAGGGTCAACTGTATTTGCTAAATTCTGAGAGATCATTTAATACATACTTAAATCATTTTAGATATTAATATATTAATTTTAAGTAATTGCCAAAGATTTCTTATCTTATCTTAGATTGCCTTTGTATTGTTTCACCCTGGCTTATTGACATGGTCTTCAAAGATTTCTAAACAACTCTATTACTTTTAAAATGAGGAGAAAAAAAATCTCAAGAACTTAAAAAAAGGCAATAAGCCACTCTTTAGTGCACCTGTAGGAATAAGAATTTTAAGAGTCTGACGACCTGATTTCAAATTTACCTTGTCATTGACCAACTTTGGGCAAGTTACCTTACCTCTCTGAATCACAGAATCCTCACCCATAAAACCAGGATGATATCCACATCACATAATAGTAAGATGAGCAAGCATTAAAAATGGGTTAGCAAGAACTATGGTGATTACCAGAGGGAAAGGGGGGATGGGGCTGGTAGAAGAGGTAAAAGGGGGATAAATGGTGATGGAAGGAGACTTGACTTGGGGTGGTGAACACATTATACAATATACAGATGATGTATTATAGAATTGTACACCTGAAATCCATATCATTTTATTAATGTCACCCCAATAAATTCAATTAAAAAAATAGGCTAGAAAATGAGGTTGGAATCCTTGGCTATCCAAATGCAAAAAAAAAAAAAAAAAAAGTGCACTTGGATCTACACCTATCATTATATTAAAAAATTAACTCAATGTGGATCATAGACCTAAATGTAAAACCTAAAACTATAAAACTCGCAGAAGAAAACATAGAAGAAAATCTTTGTCACCTTCAATTAGACAAAAATTTCTTAGGTACAACATCCAAACAAAATCTGTGAACAAATTAATTAAGTTGGATTCCATCAAAGTTTAAAATGTTTGTTCTTCAAAAGGCAATGTGAATAGAATGAAAAGACAGGTCACAGACTGCGAGAAAGTATTTGCAAAGCAAAAGACACAGGATAACAAGTGCTGGTGAGGATGAGGCATAACTAGAACCCTCCCTCACATCTGATGGGAATTAAAGTTGTGCAGAACTTTGAAAAAGTTTCTTAACATGCTAAACATTTATTTTATGATCCAGCAAATTCCACTATGGGGCACCTGCCTACTCAAGAGAAATGAAACACATGTTCACAGAACATTTGGAGACGAGCATTCATAGAAGTATTTTTATAATGACTCCAACGTGGAAACAACCCGAATGTCCGCCAACAGATGAACATACACACGAACTGTGATGTATTTATTCACACGACGGAACACTATTCGGCAATCAAAAGGAACGAACTATTGACACACGATGAGTGGAAGGCGCCAGACAAAAGTGACTACTACAAAAATGATTCCATTTACACAGAATTCTAGAAATGGATGGTAACAGAAAGCAAATCAGAGAGGTTGCCCGCGGCCCGAAGGCCATAAGTAAAGCTTTCAAAGGCGCATGGAGAGACCTTTTGCGGCATGCGTGATGGTTTCACAAGGACGCATATACGTCCGTCAACACTTTTAAAAAGTGCATTTTATTGTGTGCCTCTTACACCAAAAACAGAGCCGTTGAACAAAAATGATGAGCAGAATCTGAATTCAACTCCTCAGACCCTCAGAAAAGATTCTGCTGGAAGAAGATGAGATGCCGGTTAAAGCAATCGAAACGGGGTAGCGGAATGAGGCCGGACTCGAACCCTGAAAGGAGCGAGTTTGCCTGGTAACCAGGGA